CCGGACTCGCGTCGATTACACGACGTCGGGTCTCTTTCGTAACTCGATTATACAAAATACATTGTATATTCTCAAATTGTCGCTCATTCCTCGGCACGGATAATCACGGAATGGATACGCCGAGAAAGTCACGTATGAAGACGGATGCGTGCGCGTACGCGCGCACGTACGCCCGCACGGATTCGTATAGGAAATGAGAAAGAGGAGAGAGAAAAAAAGCGTTCGACAGCCCTCGGTAATTTTTGCTGAGCGACGGTATGCGTGGTATGCGGCTGTTATTGCGAGATTTCCGGCTCCGAGTGTTTACGAGGAGGAAGACCCGTTGCTCGCGCCGCCACGAGGCCAGGCGGCGCATCTTACGTGCGCCGTGATATATACGGGGTGAATAACGCAAACTGGAGCACGCGAAATGAAACGTTCCTCGCGAGGACTTTCTCGCCGGGCTTCGCGTTACTCAACGGCGAATTTTCGCATCTGCGAAATCAGAGCGCGACCATCCCACCGGGAATAGTGCTCTTACAACGATCGTAAACGCTAATTGGCGTTTCACGCTAATTAGCGTATGTTTATCTAGTAGATTGTTATTGATGTTAAGCAGCTGTTTTCACGCCCATTTTCGTTCTCGATGAGAATCCATTTGAGAATCCATTTCTCCAGTGCCTGAACACGCTGGCATGCCCCTGAGTCTCGATAGTATCGCGATTTGTAACGCGATTAGTTGACAGTCTGTGTCTACCGACTTTGCAGGCACATGACTTTCCAGGCGTGGAATGCTCGATGAAAATCTTTTTTTTTTTCAGAAAAAAAAATATTTGCGAAAAATTGATGACTTTTGCGCAAACGAGGCTTTTCTTAGCGTTGAATTAAATATGATTCGGTCGAAATAGCCTTTCGAGCCATGAAACGTTTTTGATATCGAGGAGATATAATCGATCGATATCGGGGAATAAATTATTCATTGAAACATATTCCATTACGTTAGAAAATAAGATTTATGATAGATGTCACATTATCTTTTATACAAGTATTATCTTTTATATGTTTACGGGTGCAAAAGCAAAATGCATCGTAAGAATACAAAATAATTTTCTGACTATTATCGAAAACGTTAATGATTATACTTTATCCCAATATATCGTATCTCGAATGATATCGTCGTATACGAAAAAAAAGAAAAAAAAAGAAGTATATATATATACACAGTAACAAAAGTAAATTACACTCGAACATACACGGGGCTACTTCGCTGTAGAATTTCCAATCGCGCTAGCGTTACAAACTGCAATTACACACAATCTCCCGTACGTGAGTCATAAAGTGCATCGAGGAATCCCGCGCGTGTCGCAGCCGCGGCCGTAAAAGTCACGTCCCGCGCGTATAAAAAAAATAAATTAAATAAAATAAAACCGAGAGAGTTCCGTGTCGAGTTTCGTCGAATTTCCACGCACCGCGCGCCGCATGCGTGCCGCAAGCGCGCGCGCGCGCGTGCACAAGACGCACGGCCGGCCACGCAAAACGAATCCGACGACGACGAGGCGCGGCGCTCGTTAACCCGCGCCCGGAACGTCGTCATTATATTCGCATTACCGCGCCGCGTGCGTTAGAATCCGCCGCACGCACGCCGCGTGCGGGATCCGCGATTTTCATCGGCGATCGCTCGGGGCGTGGGCTCCCCGAGAACTCGATACCGCAATTTTCGCGCGAAGCGAACGCGGCGTCCGCCGAAAAATATCCGGCGAAAAGTGGCGTTGAAACTGTAAATGTCACACGCCAGCTCGCTCCGGAATATTTTCGCTTCTAAAATGTTAAATGTCCGACAAAGTTCAAATAAGTTTCAACTCGCGTACACGTTGAAATTTACATAGTGCGAAATTCACATAGAAGTCTGTTTAACGTATCGACGAATTTATTAAATTGCGTTTAAACGCTGTCTGTTTTGTTTATTTCAAACGGGTCGATTGATAACTAATTAATGAAGAAAATTATCTCGGCATCGCAGTTGTCATTGATTAAACCTTAATATACAACATAATAATAAAGATAAGATGTTAAGAATATTATAATTGGAATTACATATAATATAATATTAATTAAATTATCAGTTTTTACAATTTGTACTCTCGAGAAATTTGCATGGAAAAACCGTTATGTAAATGAAAAAAATTTAGATCGATACGCGTTTGAGCTTTGATATCTGAGAGAGGCTCGAAACGCAAGAATATCGGTGCAAACTATCGTTTTTCTCGAAGAATCCTGACCAGAAGGATTCCGACGAAAACGGACGATGGCTCTCGGTTATCATCTCGTCCAGCTTCTTAGCTCCTACCGTGCGTGTACGAGAGGCGCGAGTTTGTACACCGTAGAAATTTACTCGACGCACACATTCACACGTGCTGATTTATCCGCGCTTCCTTAGAAATTCCGACGATTCCGCCGTCACTCCGGGACGGGACGGCAAGCGTGACTACTTTCAGGTATCTCCGTGATGACGTAGGAAAAAAATACATTGCAATGGAAAATACGTCTCGTATAGAAATAACAAAACAAAATAGTAAGAAAATTATTCTTTAGATCTGCATCTGGCCAATTTTTTATATCAATCCTACAAAAGTATTCCTTTCATGTATTTAACAGTATTATCGTAAGTCTAATAGCAATATATATTGGGATTTATCAAATTGGATAAGAATCATAAAACATGTCATAATTATATACCGGCCAGGTATATGAGCGTCGATTTATGATTTTCGCGACTCGGTTTTTAAAAGGTTCTCGGATTAAATACTCGAAACAAAAGTTTCACGTCGCGCGGTTGGCCTTTGAAATTTGCTGTCCTGCGCAATTTACGCCGCGTAAACCTGTTCGAGGGAATCGCGGGACGAGCGTATTGCGCGGAATTGCGAGGTACTTTTTTTCTTCGCGGAGCTTTATCGCGCGTATCGTCAACATTATTACTTAATCTTTTTATCCTTACGACTGCACCGAAGTATGTTATTAGGCGTACTTCTCTATTTCCTGGCTATCGCCTGCGTCTCGCGTTAGCGCCGTGACCGCTTCTTTATCACCAATAAAAATAATCGATTTCGATATAACCGCTTATTTTGTTATCCGATTCGCGCATTCGAGGTAACATATTTATGACGCATGATTTATCTGTGCGAGTGTGGATAGTACCCTCACCATCACACACACACACGCGCGCGCGCGCGCCGCACGACACACACACTTACATATACACATATTTATGTCGCGCGCGCGGTAATTCCATTACTTAATTGCTTCTTCGAACCTGCGAGTAGTAGGTATAACGCGGCATGGGATTCCCTGACAACTTTAATTCCTGCGTCGAAATATTCATCACGCCGTCTGTGACACATACTAATTTGGCGCAATCAAGATTGCCTCCCGCGATTAATTAACCGCCATAAGTCTCGCTTCCCGTTCACTTTCCCGCGGTGCCGAGGCGCGGATAGGATTAAGTAGCGTTGCGGACGCGCGCGCGGTCTACGCACACACACACGTTATCAAATTTAATTAACGGTACACCGTCAATAAATGAGCTCGCGGATATCGATAGCGAAATTCCGCGTCTTCAGCGGCGGGAGATCCGCGGCGTTTGAGCGCGCTTTGCGCGGCGGAGGATGGGTTTCGGGAAGGAGGAGGGGATTCAATTAACTTCCATAGTTGCGGTGTCATGGTGCGTACGTGAATCCTGACGGGGCGAGTCGGGAATC